ATGTTAAGTGCTAGAAAACACCATGAAGAAATGATATTGAGGACTAATTTTATTTAACTACAAGATGCCAGAGGAAGTACTAGAAACCCTCAGCTTTTAAACAATTAACGATCAGGTTTTCATCCGTACACACATGTTCTTTGAAACATAGCCAAATACATCTCAACAATCAATTACCAGTCAAAAATTTAGGTTCATTATATTAGTTCTCAACAGATTGCATACTTTGTTGTCATTGTATATGACTTGGAAACATAAATCTTTAAAATTTAAGAAATAAATTTCGTTAAAGCCGTACAATGAGTTTTGGTATAATGTCAGCTTGAAGATCACAACAATAACGGCAACTGCAAAAGGCAAAATGACCGGACTGCATTGTGCAGGTCGTAAAAAAAAGATATAATTGTTGATTGATTTCATAGACTGATATAAAATAGTTATATGGAAGTTCATTTTTCCTCATGAAAGAAGACCAACCAAAAAAAGAAGTTACATAAAACACAAATGTAGTAAGCTAAACAAAGGAGAAAGAAAAAGAAAATGAATAACTCACAGTAATTGAAACGCCACCCAGTCCTTGGTGGTTGCTAACAACAACATTCCATCCACATTTTGCCATTCCAAATACAAGGTGCTTAATATACTGCCAAAAGAATTATAGCAAGACAATTTTAGCTTTGTAAAATGTATTCCACAGCAATCTCTTTGCCCTATTCAATCTGTGTCATTAACTTGCATAAGTTTTCATATAGGCATCTGGACATATAGCTTTCTCTGAGGTCCCAAATAAAAATTTCCTCAGATAATAGTCAAGGAGATTTTATAAGACTAGTTTCATATTAATTTTAGATCCTTAGCATCAGTTAGCATCAGCAACTCTTTAAGATGATTGGTAAGTGGAACTGCAAAGAAATTACTTAATAAGGATCATATTGGCATCGACATTGATAAATTTATTCTCAACCAACCACTCTATGTAGGGCAGTTTAATCTTGCAAAAGAAAAAAGCATTAAACATCCATCATAGAATGAAGATCATGTACAGAATCAATAAATACAGTTGTCATCATCAGCAAAGAAAACTAAGAAACCAAAAGCCAACCCTTCACCTCTAACTACTCGCTGTACTCATGAAGCTTCTAGACGCAGTTATCCAGCTATCATGGTTGGATTTCGATTATTTTTTTTCAAGTTCACCAAAAGTTGATACAAATTGAAGATTGTTTTCCTTTACGACCACAAGTGATTTTAAGGAACAGAGAGAAACAAGAAGAAAAGAAGACTAGTCATAAGTTGACATTAATTAACTTACTGCAGAAGAAGAATCACTTGTTAAGCCAGGAATGACAGCCACCGAAGGAGTTTTTTCATCCTTTGAGATCACATTATTCATCTCGAAGGTGCCTCTTGAAACTGTAAAATTATCAAACACATCAGTTTTAGAATAGAATATTTACTAGACTAACTTAATATGAAATTCAGGTATTATGTCTATGTAGACAAATAACTAATACCTAATAGGATCATTCAGTAACTACGATCAAGCTGCATTATCTGATTTAAAGGCTATCAAAATCTCAGTCAACCTTCTAAATATGAAAGCAAGTCAACTTGGGGAAAGTATAACCAAAAGCAACCACAATATATGAAAATTGTTTCCCTTATAGGACACTTCAACAGAACATCCTTTTGAAGGAATGACCCTCTAATTATTATGGAAAAATTCACTAAAGATTAAACACACTGTTTTAAGAAGCATATCCATGTTTAACACTAAGGAAATACTGAAACAAGAAAGAGTCGGTATACAGCACCATTATACCAGAGATACCTTTTTGTGATAGTTAAAAGGCTTCTTTTTTTGCTTGCTTGATTGGGGAGAGATGGATTGAATTTAACCTCTTTTCTACTAATATGTGGCTGCCAACAGGATATCACCTAATCCCATCATCTAAGATGCATACGAAGAAGCTGCATTTACCAGCTGCATATTGTAACCCTTTTCGGCATTATTATATTCAAACGCTTAATGTATCCGTCCAAATAGTTAGATGATAAATGGAGGCCAAAAGTAAGGGCTTTTATAACCCAAATCATGGCTTATGAACAAGTTCATTTTAAGGTGGTCTTCATAGCTGCCCTGATAGTTATTAGTCTTCAACTTGCACCCTTTACACATGTTTTAGCAGTTAATACTCCTATTATATATCACCTAAAGAAAAAGTATAATTGATGATGGATCTAACAGCTATGAAAGTTCAATCCTTAAAATGGAATATTGCACAAAATACTAAAAGATTTCAAAACACACATTACAACTAATATCAAAAGTTCTTCAGATGCATATATCAGTGAGGATATTTCATAATATCATCAAAAGTTTTGCACTAACCATCAGAACTTGTAAGCCAATCTAGAGCTATGGTTCCACCATCTGAAGCATGAAAAAGTTGTCTTAGAAAGCGGAGAGAAGTGTTTGTGAGAACAAAGCACATGGAGCAACATATCCAACATTATAAGAGAAGAAAATGATTGAAATTCATGACCTGCTGTAGCTGAAAACTGGGGGATTCCCGAAGAAATTGAGAAAAGCAGTCTGAAAGTGAGGACTTGATAACCATGGCGTCACTACATACCTGCAACAATTCAACAATTCACAAAAAAAAAAAAAAAAAAAGACTTAAAAGTGACAGAATCAAATTCCCCGGTAAAATAGAAAAAAGGAAAAGTGTACCTGCCATGAAGGACCCGGCACATGGAAACGACGTCGTTGTATATATGGGAGGAAGGGTGAAAGGTCAAGGTAACAGGAGCAACGTGAAATGCAGGGAACAAGTCATGGAAGGAATGAATTTCCGGGAAATTGTAGAGAAAAGCTGCCCATATCAGCACAAATGACAGTAAATAGTGGGAAATTGGAATCAGAGAGAGGGCAACGAATGGTTGTTTATATGCATTCAGAGAAGATTCATCCATTTGACAAAGCTTTTAGACAATCAACAAAGTGCGATAGGGAAGAAGCAATGCCCGCAGCAGTTGATAAAAATGTTTTTCTGTTTTTGGTTTTTGAGAATGGATGGAAAGTTGAAACAGGTTTTGAATGGAAAAAGTGGAAGTTGGAGAGACACCTGAGAATTTGGTATTGATAAGTACATTTATGACAGGAATGACTTTAAAAGAGTTAAATTTTTTATTTCAGTTAGTGAAGTTTTTTATTAAAATAATTTAATAAAAATTAAAATTGATAAATTAAAAAATTTTATTATATAAATTAAGTGTATATATTTTTAAAAAATTAATAAAATTTGATATATTTTTTAGATTTGTATTTTTAATAAAATTTTTTATAAAATTTATACTATTGAATAAACAATATTTTCAATAATTTTTTTATATTATTAATTTTTTATTAAATTATTAGTTTTGATTTTTAATAAATCATTTTTAATAAAAATGTTCATATACTTCATTTAATTTTTTTTTAATTTTCAATTTTTTCATTAAATAAGTAAATTTGATATATTTTTTAGATTTGTATTTTTAATAAAATTTTTTATAAAATTTATACTATTGAATAAAAAATATTTTTAATAATTCTTTTACATTATTAATTTTTTATTAAAATTTTTAAAATTATTAGGTTTGATTTTTTATTTTAATTTTTATTGAATCATTTTTAATAAAAAATTGCATATACTTCTTTTAAAATTTTTTTAATTTTCAATTTTTTCATTAAATAAGTGTTCATCAAATTCAAATTATAAATAGTATTTTAATTTTTTACATATTATTAATTTTTTATTACATTCTGTCAATCTTTTAATTTTGATATTTAATTTTAATTTTTATTAACTTATTTTTACTAAAAAATTTCATAAATTTCGCTTCAAAATTCCGTACACATCTTTTCAAAATCTGGCAGTGTGGGCCCAACAGCACTAACTTTCAGACCAGCCGCATCTAGATTACTTTCTCACATTTCTGAGCTTGTCTCTCTCACGTGCGTAATCCAACCAAGCCGCTCGTGTTCTGTCCTGGCTCCGAGTTCAATTCAGTTTTATTTTTCATATTTTAATTCAGTTTATAATTTATTCAATTAATTTCAGCTCGGCTAAATTTTAAATACTATAAAAATTAAATATCATATTTTTTATTTATCAATTTATGCATATTAAATATATAAAAATATATTTAAAAAATAAAAATTTAATTAAACTTACAATAAGTCAATTTTTAAAATACTCAAATTAATTTCAATTTATTATTTAAATAACTCAAGTTCAATTTCACTTTAATAATAAATAAATTAAATTCAAATATTTATTAAATTGAATTTGAATAATTTATATGTAATTTGATTCATTTATAATTTTTTATATATATTAAAGTTTTTATCAACACATTGCTACGATTAATTTTTTTATTTAATTATGATAAGTAATGAAAATAATTTAGTTCTTTTAATTAAAATTTAAAGTCTAATTTAAGCTCATTTAAAAAGGGTAAATTTTTGTTTGCGAAGTAAATTTTGAGTTTGAAAATTTAGTTGTGGAGAAAAAGTATAAGCAATACAAATTAATCTTATGTTTTTATTTTTTTAAGATATGATAGAATGATTTATTTTTAATATTTAATTTTTTTGAAGAATTTATTCTATTTATTCTTTTTTTGTTTAAATTATTTTGGTTTTTAAATATTAAGGATTTTATCAAAGGTATTATAAATTTGAAAGGAGTTAAAGGAAAAAAATTCTCTTACATCAAGAATATTAAAATACAAAACTTGGACCTAATATTTGTAGTAAAATGAATTTAGACAAATTTTAAAAATATTTCCATTCTACTTTTTTTTAATTAATTGAATCCTAAAATGAACTTAATATCCTCAATGTCCAAACGACTCCATCCGAAATACCAAAGTCAAAACTATGAAATAAAATGCATAAAAAATAAAAAAAAAAATTGGTCAAAAGATAAGTACTATGAAATGCCAAAGTCAAAACTAAAATTGTTTCTCCACATGAAATTTTTTTTTTGCAAATGAATGTTTTGAAAATTTGAAATCCAATATCCTAATGAATCTATGATGAGCCAAGGTGAATGCTGAGAAGTCAGTGTCCTCCAGCCATTGCAGGGTTGAGAGATGCTTGTTTAGGTGGATTTGGAAGTGCAAAAATAGCCAATAAAGCACTAATGGCAGCCACAATCGATCCCAAAACAAAGGCTGGTAAGTTTCCTCCCCCAAATGCTGCATCAAGTGGTCCACTAACCACTGATATAAACATCTGTCACATTTCCCAAATTAAGCCAATCAATTGTATATATTTATGAACATGAATATGATTTTAGCATAACAATCCTACAATATGTTGATAAAATATTAAATTTTTAATTTTAATGAACGATATGAGGTAAATGAGACGAGGAACTCTTACTTGTGGGATAACTATTGACAAGTTGAGCACACCCAAGGAAAGCCCTACAATTGGTAAAAATATATGAAGGCTTAATTAAAATACAACAAGCGTAGGCACCACAACAACCAATAATCAATCAATAACACTTACCTTGACCGCCACCGGTGGTGGAGCAATAGATGGATGCCAAAGCAAATGGAATGCTGTATGTTACCTGCATTAAACAATTAGGATCTTATGTGTGTGTATATATATATATATATATATATATATATATATGATATTTTTCATTTTTTTCTTATAGCTTTATATATCAAATCAAATACAAATTTAATTTCTCAAATTCATCATTCTAAACGTGCCAAATTTAGAAAAGTACTAATGTAATTCATACTTAATTTTCTAAGCCCACCCTTGCTAGATGACTTTGATTCATGCTTAAGTAAGAAACGGCTAAACTTTCCTAAAAAAATTATAAAATGAACTTCCAAATAGAGACATAAAAATTGTCTTTCAAACACCAAAACTCTTTAAGAATAATTAAGACAATATTTATGGCAATATTTTGTATTAAATGCAATAGTGAATAGTTAATGTAGTAATTTCTATCTTTCTTTTCCTCAAATTAATTGATAAAATTTCGAACTAAATTTATGAAATTATTAAAGAGTGGATAAGTGTGAAAAAAGAAACTAACCGCAAGTGGAATACCCAACAATCCAAACAAAGCCAAGGCAAAGCGTTCGATATTGGGCGGATGGGCCAAGATTTGATGTCCAGGTTTAGCCCTCCAGGCCTCGGCCACCTTGGTAATCCACACCGTTCCAGCCAGGCATGCAGCCAAAATGAAGTTGACTGCACCCCACAAATTCTTAACCCCACCAATCAAGCGGCGAGCAGGCTCCAATCCCAACGAAGCACCCCCCAACACAATGGAGTTAATCATCAAACCCAACGCACCTGCACGCACTCCATCATCGTACAATTTTTCTTCATCTGCATTTCCCTTCACTTTCCCTCCAAAAACCTCCCTTCCCATCCAGTCAGTATCGTACAACAAGAATGGAAACCAGGCGATCCAGTTAAGGCTAGTGACGAGAAGCAAGACCCACATTGGTTTCTTTAAGGTCTTGAATGCTGTCACTAACTCCCCAAAGAAAGGCCCAGATGGTTTTCCTTCTTCTTCTTCTTCTTCTAGAGCTTCCTTGCCCGTTAATGGCGTCTCTTTCACGGTGGTAATTGCTGTTATTGTCACCGACATGAGGAAAATAATATCAATGATGAAACAGGTTTTGAGGTTTGCACAGTAAACATCACAGGCTGTTGTTATTGTGAAAGGCAACATCTTGTGTACATGTGAGATGGAACCGGCTGCATAACCCAAAACGTTTCCTACAGCCATGAAGAAAGAGAACCAACCATTTGCAAGTCTCATTCTTTTATGATCATTTGCGGAAAGGTCAGCAAGGAAAGCACGGCATGGACCTTGTAACATGTTGTTAGCCACATCAAGAATCCAGAAACCTGTAACGAAGATAGCAACGGCTCTAGGCTTTGTGGACTTTTCCAGTGAATCACCAGCTCGGTGGCCTATGTCCTTGGCGAAGCCAATGAGGAAAACAGCCATCGCAACGAAACTGGCTCCAGCAACAATAAAGGGTCGCCGACGACCGAAGCGAGAGGTGCAATGGTCACTGCTGTAGCCTACAAGAGGCTGAACAAGGAGCCCAGAGATGGGGCCACAAAGCCAAATAAAAGCAGCCCAGGCGTGAGGCACACCGAGGGTTTGAACATAAGGGGTTAGAAGAGAAAGCTGCAGAGCCCATCCGAACTGGACCCCGGCGGCTATTGCTGAAACCACTATAATCTTCCATAGCGGGCTTGGGGCTGCGTTATCTCCTGTCTCCATGGCGCTGCTATTCAGAATCTAACTATGAAATCTGCTAGAGAAGAAAAGATAAACAACTGATTGATTGATTAGTGCAATAAGGGTTTTTTATATACAATATTTGATAATAGATTTTTGGGTGCAGTGAATCATAAACATTTAATTTGTGATCCTGAAAAATTCAGAACTTTAGATCTTTGTTTTCTATGTATTAACTATAAATGTAACGTTTCTAAATAATATAGTAATTAAGAAAGATAATTAATTACTACATGGCCCAAAAGAAAGATATTTACCTGTTTTGACTTTTTAATTTATTATTCTTAATCTTATCCATAAAACCAAAAATTTTTTTTGGTTAAATGGTTTTGTCATTTCCAAACATCAAATGCACCCGAGCATTGATCATGTTTATTTTGAAATTCAATTGATTTATAAAAGGAAAATTAATAAAATATTTATATTGTTTTTGGTAAGAAATCACGAAGAAACTTGGATAGAAATTAAGGAGAAAATTAAGGAAAGAAAATAAGGCAAGGAAAATTTTTTGGCATAAAAATTGAAAGAAAAGATATTCTAAAGATGAAAGAAAAGATATTCTGTGGAAAATTATAGATAAATTATTAATTTAAACAGAGTGGAGCAAATTAATGAGAGCATATAAATTATGATAATGATTAATATATAAGATAATAGATAAGATAAAATGATAATAATTTTATATTATATTTGGTTTATATCTAAAGAAAAAACTAGGATTATAAGGAAAATTAATTATTATTTTTGTATAAGATGATTCAATTTTCCTAAAATAAAAAGATTATTTTTAGTCTACAAAACTGATCTTACATTTTTAATTATATCTTTAAAAATTATATTAATAATTTAAATTGTATAAATATTGAGAAAGGATAATTTTGATTAATAAATAAATTATTCTATCATAATTTTTACATATATCAAATACAATATATAATAATATTGTCATAACATATAGATCCGTAAATCTATAGCTAGACTTAACAAATAGAGTCGCCGTCAATCTTTTATACTAGGTGTGAATGATCACTTTATGAATCTATCCTCTTAAGGAGTTCTTAAGCTTAACTAAGGGTCTATAAAAGAATAGGTTTGGGTCTACAAACTAGAATAAGGTTTGGGGTTTGGTTACATGTGAGGAAGGTTATAGCACCCCCACATGCCTATCCGAAAGATGGTACCATATTGTTTCAAATTTATCCTAAGGTTTTAAATATAATGGTTTCAAATTTTATGTTAAATATTAGAAATAATTTTTAAGATTCTTCATCAATCTGGTAAAACTCTTAAAAAAATGTTTCCTCACCTTAAGAGTATTCAAGAATCTCATTTGATATCTTGAAGATGCCTCATCATAAAAAAAAAGGGGTTTATTTATTTATTTTTTATCGAAAATATATCTAATTATTCTATCATTTGAGCCAAATTAGAAATATTTTTTTTTTGAATTTCTAAAATTTTCACCATTTGAGTCAATTTGGAAATATTTTTTTTGAAATTTCTAAATTTTTAACCATTTGGGCCTATTTAGAAATTCTTTTTATTCTTTTTTTTTGGAAAGAAAATAATATGATAATTATTTTTATTGAAATTCCATTTAAATTATTCTATCATTTGGGACAAATTTAAAAAAAATTTCTCACCTAGAGATTTCTTAAAAATTTACCATTTAAAATTTTTAAGAATCTCATCATTGGATAATTATCAAGTATTTTCAACCCAAAATTTAATTTTTAATTTTTAATTTTTTTTGTTTGAAAAATAAATATTAATTATTGTTATTAAAATTTTATCTAAATTATTTTACTATTTGAGATAATTTTAGACAAAATTTCTCATCTAAAAATTTATAGAAATTTACCATTTGAAATTTCTATAAATTCCATCATTGGATAATTAATATCTATTCCTAAAAAATATTTTATTTTTTTTATTTTTTTCTAAATTTAATCATGCCAAAATTTTTTTTTTCTAAATAGGCCTAAATGGTGAAAAATTTAGAATTTTCAAAAAAAATATTTCTAAATTGACCCAAATGGTGGAGAATTTAGAAATAAAAAAAGAAATAAAAAGAATTTCTAAATATGCCCAAATGATGAAAATTTTAAAAATTCAAAAAAAAATTTTAATTTGACCTAGATGGTGGAATAATTAGATATATTTTTGACCAAAAAAAAATAATAAACCTTTTTTTCAACGATGGAGCCTCTTCAAGATATCAAATTGGATTCTTGAATACTCTTAAGGTAAAAAAATATATTTTTAAGAGTTCTATCATATTGATGAAGAATCTTAAAAATTATTTTTAATATTTAATATAAAATTTGAAACTATTAGAGTTAAGACCTTATGATAAATTTGAAATAATATGGTACCATCATTCGGATGGGCATGTAGGGGTGCTATAACTTTTTCTACAAGTAACCAAACTCCTGAATCCTATTCTGGTTCGTAGACCCAAACTTATTCTTTTAGGGACCTTTAGTCAAGCTTAAGAGCTCCTTAAGAGGATAGATTCATAAGGTAGCCAATCACACCTAGTAAAAAAGATTGGTGGCATCTTCATTTATTAAGTCTAGCTATAGATTTATGGATCTATATGTTATGACAGTTTGGCAACTCTGTTAGAGAAGTTAGAGAGTCATGCCATAATTTTTGAATTTATCATATCCTTTGGTCTAATGGTTTTGAATTGTGATAGTTTGTGTTATTTGTTTACTAACATTTTTTTTGTCTTGTATTTTATTTTTGGGGCATGAAACTCATATATTCCTTCACATATTCTATCACATGCATTTGCATTACATGAGTTTTATACCCAGGCTCCATCCCTCTTAAGAAGAAGTAAAGTACCTACGCTATCGTGAGATAATAATCTCTGCAATGGCTAACGAAATACTTTCACTCAAATTGAATCATTCCACAGCCCGTGATGGGTGAAGATTGGAATACCTTACTAGTTTATGATGGACGATGATGTAAGGAACAATTTGGGAACCTTTTAATGGTCAAAATCTCCTAACCCTGCATATAGTTCACCCCTAAGAGGCCAACATTAGGATAAAGCCCTTCCTACCCATCAATAGATATCATCCAAAATTAGGACATAAAAGGGAACAACTTGTAAATTGCTTATCTAACCATGTTGTCTGTTTGATTTTATGCATCTGCATCATTTCATTCTATGCATCATATTATCATATCATTTCATTCTATGCATCATTTTTATGATCATGTTTTAACATTATCATTTGCATCATTCTCATTTCATCCATGAAAATATACATTTCATTCATGCATCAACATACCAAAAATAAAGCATAGCATTTCTGATCATAATTGTGGTGCTCAAGATTCAATGATAGCTCTACCAAGCAACCTCACTCACCAATACAATACAAGAGCTCGAACCAGATAGACGAAACAATAAAATTTTAATCATCTTGAAATGATAGAAAAAGCTTAAGAGAAGCTAGAAGGAGAGTTGAATAAGATTTTAGAGGCTTTAAACAAGTTAAACAAAAGAAAATGTATAGAAAAAAGTACTAGCCAACAAAACCATTCATCACAAGAGGTGGATGACCAATTGTACCTTTTTAGTTTTAGGTCACATCAAGCCTAACCCACATAAGGTCCACCATAACAGCAGTTCACTCATCCCATAAGGCACACATACCGTAAAATGTCATCAATTTCAAATCTAGGACAATATTAGAGTTATGTAAATCCTGTCTTTATCGAAAAAGTAGTAGAGCTAATACTAGTCCCTAATTTAGATGATTCAAAAGAGAAAGAGAAGTTAAGGCCCAAGAAAAAAAAGACTTTAAAATTTTTAAAAGCTGAATAGAAGATGAACTTGTTAGAGGAAATGTTACGGGCCATAGAGGGCATTGGTTTTTGTAGTTCAATGGATGCTACTGGGCTCTGTTTAATTTTAGATGTGATTATTCCTCTAAAATTTAAAGTTTTTGAGTTTAAAAAATATGATGGTACAAAATGCCCAAAGACCCACATTACCATGTATTGTCAAAAAATGGTTGTCTATGCTAATAATGAGAAGCTATTGATGTATGTGTTTCAAGATAGCCTCAAAAGCTCTGCTGTTAGGTGGTATGTCCAGTTGAATAGGACCCACATTCGTTCTTGGAGCAATATAGCCCATGCCTTCATTAATCAGTACCAGCATGTTATAGACTTAGGCCTTAATCACCTTTCTTTACAGAATATAGAAAAGAAACTGACTAAATCATTCAAGAAATATGTCTAGAGGTGAATGGATGTAACTTCTCGAGTGCAACCCCTTTTGACTGAAAAAAAACTATTATGTTGTTTGTCAGCATTTTGAAATGCCTCTATTATGAAAAGATGATAAGAAATGCAACAAAAAATTTTGTTGACATGGTGATCTTAGGCAAAATCATTGAGAATGCCATTAAAAATGACAAGTTGAAAGGAGAAAAAACCAAAAAGGTAAAAAAAAAAGAGATTGAAGCTTAAGTCGCGAGCCTTGATAGATAGTTTAGAGGATATCAACCCTATCTACCACAAGATTATTCTTTATACTATCCTACTGTGAACAATATCTCACTTTATCTGCATCAACCATATCCATAACTAGCTTACTTACTAACTTATCAATTAACCTTTCAAGTACCTGCATATGATTATAGTCATATCATTATATCAATTTCAAAGCCTAACAACCAAGTGAGTGGTTCAAGGAGATCTTAGGATAACCAAGAAAGAGCGAACATCAATCCTATCCTCATGACCTATATTGAGTTATTCCCAGAACTGTAAAAAATAACTTGGTATCTTCAATTATTCTAAAATCATTGAAGCCACTCTATCTAAAATGGTACGATGCTAATGCGATGTGCGATTATTATAATAAGAATATAGGTCATTCTATTAAAACCTGCCCTGCTTTCAAACATAAAGTATAAAGTTTGATCCATAAAGGCTTAGTGAGCTTTGATGAATTGATG